TTATCAGGAATGACTTGTCTACTTACTTCCAGTATCTAGCCCTAAAAAATAGTTTTTTGTGTCTCTGGCAGACTGTTAAGGCATCTATCCTCTTCTTCATTCTGAGGTCCTGTGTTTCCATCAGATATTCTTCCATTATTCTTCAAAATTTTATCAGTCCTATTTCTTGGCCAAGATGGTTTTGAGTCCCAAAATAGAGTAACATATTCAGTGTCCTTATCAAAAGCCCTTTTCCCAAGACCCCACTGAGCAAGAGATCTGGGAGTGCTGACTTACCTGTGGCATGTTCACGTAGACCTACATCAAAGGCAAGTTTATCTGTCTGGGATCTTGATGTAGTCAAACACGTTAGATACTGTGAAACAAGAACAGATGCTAGTGAAGTCACACTCTTCCACTGGGTTTTGGTATCTTACCACTAGTCAGCTTCCAGTTTGTTTTAACAAAGAGCTCCTGTGAAAAGGGCTCATTTATCTTTCAGTGGAAAGTTAGTTGGTACGATGCTTTGGGGAAATATTTTATAATACATTTAAAACCTCAAAAATGTTCCTATTTAGTGACTCAGTGATTTAACTATAGAACTCTATGTTACAGAAACAAAATTGAAATATTAAAGATGCTTTAATTCAAAGATATTCTGAGAAACATTTAACTTACGAGCAATACAAATGGAATATAAATGACTAACAATAATGGAAATGCTAGATAAACTCTGGTACTTCTATTTTGTGGAATATTATAGTAAGAGTATTTGTCAAGAGTGTGTAATAGCATGGAACATTGTTTATCACACATTGAGCTAAAAAAAATGGTATACATTATAGCACATTTATATGGTTACCGTGTACACAAAAATTTAAATGCCTAGCAACCAGACTAAAAGGAATTACACCAAAATGGTAACAGAAGTTTTCTTTGGATGGTGGGTAGTGGGGATTGGAAACCATAGATGATTCCCCCACATCTACTTATTTCCTGCTTTTCAAATTTTCTATGAGCTTTAAAAGTTCTCAAAAGAATGATTATGGTTTTTTCTGATTATAAAAATAAATGTGGAAATAAAACTTAAAAGTCATTTAAAAAATAACTTAGTAAAGGAGAGAAAACCCTGGCCTGTTTCCTGCCTCCTTCATTAATGGGCACAGTGGCATGTCTTAGGGAGGCAGGTAAGCACAGGGATGTGCTTTCTGAGCTGTACTTCTAGTTCTCGGCAAGAGGAAGATGGAAAATCCTTGTCTTGTACAAAGTCATAGCTCACAGGCTTTATTCCCAGAACTGCTCTTAAAAGCAACTAGCTACAATGCAGTTTACGGTAATTGTGAGTGGGATTATTTTTAGGAGGGGTGAACTTAACAATAAATAATGTCAGCCTTGGATCTCTACAGGATGTGAGCCTGAGTTTTTGAAACCATGAGAAATGTGAAGTTCTGTTTATACTACTTGGGAATTGTGAGTGGGATTATTTTTAGGAGGGGTGAACTTAACAATAAATAATGTCAGCCTTGGATCTCTACCAGGATGTGAGCCTGAGTTTTTGAAACCATGAGAAATGTGAAGTTCTGTTTATACTACTTGGGAAGAAAAAGAGAGGTGTTGGGGTTTTATTTACCTTCTGGATAAGTACCAGATTCTGAAAGATAAATGAGCAACTCTCAACTCCAGAGACTATCAGGGTAAAAAGTTTCTCCACTCTCAAAAATGTCCCCATCTCCTACTTGAATACCCTTCCATTTGGTCATTTTTGTTCTCTGTCTTTTGTCACAAAGAACTACAACAGATAAATGTTCAGGCTGAAAAGGTCAACTTCTTGCCAGCGCTTAGAAAAAAAAAATGCTGCAATAAATTATTTGAGAAGCAGCTGTTGCTCTTGCCACCAATTTCATAGTTCAACCTTTGAGATGAGATTTGCAGCATGCTGTGGGTGTAAATGTGAGAAAATAAGTATTGAATTAATGTACCAGTTTTCCACTAAGGCTAGTCAAAGAAGACAAACCATCCTTACATGGATAGCAAGTGAGGATGATACACTTAGGAACTGAGAATAAATGTGATTGGGGTGGACACACATCATTCTAGTTTGAGATCATAATATTCTTCTTAATACTTTCTGTGAAAGATTTGCAATATCTGTATTTTACAAAATATATTTATTTGAAACTCGCAAATTGTTTTCAAGTTACACTGAGTTATCACCATTCTGCTTAATTCTGGTTCTACCTGCCTGGTTAGTTATAGCCTGATCAGCTTTCTGTGGCTACCTTGTCCCTTATCTTCCTCCTGCCTCTGGATTAACATAATACCTTCAAATTCATCCAGGACTGAGGCAATAGATATCATACCATTTCTTTTAGCTAGGTGAAAGAGGAGAAATGTCACAAAAATCCCACTTGATTGGCGTTTCTTTTATGCTGGTTATCCTTGTATACTAAAGAAACCAGTCATTCCATAGTTCATTTGATCACTTATCAGTTCAACTAATATTTACTAAGCATCTAGTACGAGGGCACTTCCAAAAGTTCATGGAAAAATGGAATTAAAAGATAATGAGAATCTTTCCATGAACTTTTTTTTTTTTTGTCTTTTTTTGTGACCGGTAAGGGGATCGCAACCATTGGCTTGGTGTCGCCCGCACCGTGCTCAGCCAGTGAGCGCACCAGCCACCCGTATATAGGATCTGAACCCGCGGCGGGAGCACCTCTGCGCTCCCAAGTGCTGCACTCTCCCGAGTGCGCCACGGGGCCGGCCCTTTCCATGAACTTTTTTTTTTTTTGTCTTTTTTTGTGACCGGTAAGGGGATCGCAACCATTGGCTTGGGGGCCCCCCCACC